TCAAGGATGATGAGTTTGCCTTTCCCTCTCGGCCATGCACGAAAAAGACTGTTTCCCAGAGTCGTGCTCACGTTAAGGGGGAGTCTTCTAGGGCTGGTACTTCTGCAGGTACAGCTGCTGGCCTTGCTGAGGAGGTTGAGTTTGATGCTGCCGCAGCTGGTGGTAAGGAGGATGTTGTTCCACCCCGAGCTTTTCATGACCAGCTTCAGCATTTCGAGGAGGCTATGACACAGAGGTTGGATCTTCTGGATGCTAGATTTGATGCTTTTGATGGCCGCCTCGGACAATTGGAGCAGTCTGCTATCCAGACTACCACTCAGCTAGCGCACATTATCTCTTTACTTCAGATTCAGCAGCATCATCCTCCATCCAATGCCTGATTTGGTTGTTCACCTATTTTTCTTCCTAGTCTCCCGGCCAAAAAGGGGACAATTTTTGGGTTTGAGGTTTGAAGATACACAGTTTTTTTGATATTAGGATGATAGTTTTTGATATTTGGATATTATATTTGGTTATACATGTTTTGATATTTGGATATTATATTTGGATACTTTCATGTTTTGGATATTTGGATACTTTCATTTTGGATCTAGTATTATGGTTCTGTTTATATTCATATCTCTTCTTATGCCATTCCACAGTTTTAGTTTTTCTTGGTATGTTGGTTGTTATTTCACAGGTGTATATTGGATGAATTATTCGAATGGCAGGATTGGTTTGGATGGATTATTCGCATGGCAGGATTGTTTGTTGATCAGAGAGTTGTTTAGTGTTATTTTTTTTCAGTTGTTACATAGTCTAGTGCGTGTGTTTAAGGAAAATTGTTTAGAAAAGTTTTGTCTGAGAATTGACAAAAGGGGAGATTGTTAGGTCCCTTTATTGTCAAATCTACATACAAACTTTGTTTTGATAAAGTTATAATTTTTCCAAGTTCTTTGTCTTTCCCGCTCGAGCGTAATTTGGGATATCTTAGTAGTTTGACAGGTCTGTAAAAATACTAAGCTGCATGATTTCGCGCTCGAGCGGGTTTCATAACGCTCGAGCGGAACTCTGTTTTTTCACACGCATGTTTTGCTAAAGCCGCTCAAGCGGGCTGTCCTGCGCTCGAGCGGAGATCGCGAACTTTGTTCTCCTATTTATATCTGTTTGGGTTGTTTTTAGGTTTAACTTTTCCTCGATCTTATTGAAGAGTCCTAGGGTTTTGTTTGAGGTTTTCCTCTGAAAGTTTTGTGAGTTTTCCTTAATGTTTAGAGAGAGTTCTTCACTCATGATCTAAGATACATACATCAAGGAGTTTGTTACTTGAAATTCAAGAGAGTTCTCTTAGGTGGATTCCGAAGATTCAAACGTGGAGTTTCAGAGGAGTTTGATTCCGTACGTAGTCGTTTATTCGACAAACGAAGTTGTGGATTCAACTTCAGATCAATCAGTTCCGAGACGACGGCTTGGTGAAAGAGTTACAGAAGATTCGAAGACAAATTGATTGAGTTGCGTAATTTATGTGTTATCTTTGTAATCTTTCTTTCTTCAGTAGTGGATTGATTAGTAGCGTTTCGCCCGTGGTTTTTGATTACAATTGAAGGTTCTTCAATTGTGGGTTTTCTACGTAAAAATCGTTTGTGCCGATTTATTGTTTATTCAGAAAAACAACAATCTAAATCACTTTCGTAAGTGCTTGATGATTTAGATTGCGTGTTTAAAATAATTAGAATTTGAAATATTTTAATCTTGATCTAATCACAAATCACTTAGAATTTTCATGTTTTATAGCCTTATTTATATATTTATATTGAATCCTTCAGCTTTTATATTCCTACATATATGCTTATTACTCTTGGCTCAATTTTGTTACCGTAGCACCATTTATGATGTTTGACTTATGTCACTTTCTTGCACTATATATATAAAGGTCGAGGGTTCACCTCCGGTCGCACTCTCGAAAATTCTAAAAACTATATAGGTTATACTAATAATAATAAGATAATTTTAAAAATAATAAATTATATGTGTATTTGTTCCCAAAGTTTGATTCCAGAATCCATTCTAAGTAATAGACTACAACGGCAACAATTCTCTAAGCTTTTGTCATTCTTTCTCTAGTTTCAAAATTCGTATTGTCCTGTGAGAGAACTTTGCCTTTATTATTCTAGTGTATATATATATCGTTATATTGTTATATTATTGTTGAGAAATTCAAATGGTGATTTTGTTTATAGTGTTGGTGAGCACTAGAAGAGGACCTAGTGTGTAATTTTGAGTTTTATCTTGGAATTGTTGACATTTTTACAAGAGAGAAAAAATAATTTAAAACAGTGACACTATGACTCAAATTTTTACAGGTTATTGGGAAACTCTAATTTTTCGATTAATAAATTATTCTGTTAGTTAATATATTCTATTTATTCATTTTATATAATCTGAAATCACATGCTAATTAGTTTAATATCCTGTAATTTTTAATTATTAGTGCTTAATTTGTTGTGTTTTATTTTTTCCACACTAACACATAGCCCCTAGCCAAAAAAATTTTAAATAAATAAATAAATAACCTGTTGATATGCAATCAACAGGAGCACATAACAAGGAAAAGGAAACCCAACCAAAACAGAGAAACAAGAATCCTAAAGAAAGGAAAAAACAAAACAAAACAAAGGAACACAGCTACAAGGAAAAATCAACACAGAAAAACACCTGTTTTGTACTTTTCAAAATCACATCAATAAAATTTATTCTCTAATCAAGAAAAAAGAAAAACACCATTTTTTTACTTTTGAAAATTACATCAATACAGTTTCTTTTTCCCGAATGAAGAAAAATGAATAGCACCACTGCTCGAAAGAGATCAAAGATAAATATCAAGCCTCCTCAAACTTTGCTAAGTTAATTTGATTTTCAATTTGCATACCCCCTTCCAATGAATGAATGAAAGCATTCACTAAATAAAAGGAAATATTAGAATACTTCTTGACCCACAAAGTAATGCGAACCTTGACCAGCTCAACAACCTTGCTTCAACACCAAAATTCACAATTGAACACTCAGTCCTTTTTGGATTTTCACCGAGTCCAATTACCTTCTTAATATTTTTAAATCTGAAAACCAAACCACCAAACAAACACACTAGGGACATATTTAATTAGTAGGATTATAGTATAGGATTGAAATTATTAGTTTATAGACTCAGAATCCTATGTTTGATTGCAAATTATTAACTAGATTATATGTATAGCAAATATTCAATTCGATAAAATTGATAAATTTTTAATATTAAGAGAGGATAAGGATCATAATTTCAAGTATGAAAAAAATAAAATAAAATAAATACAAAATAAATATTTATCTGACTAATTCATGCAATTATTAATCTTTTTACTATTAAACAAGATCTAGATGTTTAAAATTTGGTGGTATTATCCGCTACATGTGCCACCAATTTAGACAATCACACCACACTTTCTAAGAGAAATCATAATAAAGTAGTGAGTCATTAGGTGTTTTGAGATCGTCTTCTAAAAGCATACAAGTTGCCTCACACGGGTCCTTCAAAACTCGTCTTTCCAGTAACAAAATAATGTAGAAGCGGATAAACTCTTCCACCGAGTTAACCAGCCAAAAACGTTGGGTTTGCTTGAGGAATTTAAGAAAGAATTTGTAAAGAGAAATGGTAAAGGTGTGTAAAATTAAATGAAATATAGGTATATTTTATTTACATTTCATCTATTTTTTTTTTTTATAATTCCAAATCTTTTTTTCAAATCTCTAACCAAACACAGAATTAGTGGGGAAATGTTTTTCCACATTTTTAACAGTTGTATCCAAGGAAAATTCATGGAGAAGGTAAAGAGAAAGAGAGCAAAAAAAACCCCCGAATGGTCAACCTTATCCACCAACCTGTCCGAAACACTTATTCTGAAAGAGGGTTCTAAATCTAACAATTGAAGTATGTTATCATGCTTTTCATCTACCCAAGCAAGCAAGGCCCTTCTGAATATAAAATATATTTCATGAGTTGCCAGTGGCGGCGTGATCGTAGGAGGAAGGTGGCCAGATGTTCTCTAAACAAGAGTCAAACATTTTTTTTTTTGTTCTGAACAAATTTAGAAATTTTAAACGTTGCTACAATTTTTAAAAAATGAAAATAGTTGTCAATTGTGTTTTCCTTTAAATAAAAAAATAAATAAAATACAAACATAATCGCATATAACCTTAATATTTATATATTTTTTTGAAGATGTTCCTGTGAGGTTGGAAAACTATGATAATCAAGACCACTATAGAAGTGACATTGAGTATGCAGTTAACAACTCTCAAGTTATCACACAGCAGTACAGTTGGGCAAACTTCTGCAATTCAGGTTTGTTATGAATTCCTTATTATTCTTTTTTTTTGATCAGCAAAAGAATACCTTTATTGATGCAAGAACCAAACAAAACCAGAGATTACATCAAAAAAGGAGGGGAAAAGCAGCAAGCTAGCTCACCCCAGGAGTTTGGTGAGGAACCAAACCCAAGAAGAAGAGAAACACAGAAGAGAACAACAAAAAAAAAACCAACAGACCAATACAGACCAACCATAAGCCAACATCAGAAATACACTGCAGCCACAAAGACCTCCACAGCAACCTACGCATAGCAAACAACACCCAATACACCACAGCAGAGCTCCTGGGCTTCAAACCCACAGAACAGCCACAGAACAGCCCACTTAGCTGACAGCAGCAGCAGCAAACTAAACAACCACACCAGAACTCCACTGAAGCTATGCACTCTACCAAGCAATTTATATCCAAGAGTAACTACAAACTCTTAGCTGACAGTGCCATGAGATAATACATCACTTCTCAGCACCCAACAGAGCAGCATTCCATTTTCTGATGCATCACTCCTGATTACTAGCAGATGAACAACTGAACAGAGGCACGCTTAGGACCACTGTCCACTGCACTCTAGCATATGAGTAGCATAACAGATGAAAAGCACACTGAGGACTGCCCAAGCACTCTAACATATGAACATCCTCCAAACCACTGACCAGATTAGCAACCAAACAGACAGCATCATATAACAGACAGCAACATAATGAACCTGGTGAATGCATCAAGGCAGCAACATACAGCAGACAGCAACATTCATCCTCAAAACCACTGTCCAGTGAATGCATCAAGACAGCCTATACCCAGCTCCCCTGCCTTAAACAATAATGAACCTGCTGCAAATTAAAAACTACATCATTAATGGAGAACTCTACTTTGGCTGGGGAGGATTTTACCCACAAGGCGATTCTTACTTTGACAACCTCACATAAATCTTCTAAATTTGGTTGAGCACCATTAAAGATGCAATCATTCCGATGCTTCCAAATGGACCAAAGGACAGCCATAGGCACAACCTTCCACATCACTTTCTCAAGCTTCTTCATCTTGCAAAATGACCACCACTGCAATAGCCCTTCCACTGAATTTGGCATCACCCACTGGACACCCCACCACTTCATAATCTGAGACCACAGTAGCCATACAAATGGGCAAAATAGCAAGATATGGTTTACCGATTCCACCTCATTTTGACAGAAAGAACAGCTAACATTGGCAGCCTCATCTAGAATCCCAATTCTTTGGAGATAGCTGGATGTTTTCAACTTGCCTAACCAAGCCAACCACCCAAAGAATTTAACTTTTGGTGGTGCACAGTTGTTCCATACTTCCCCTGACACTATCCTATCAGGACCCAATAATGATTCACATGTTCTATAACCTGAAGCAACAGAATACATCCCAGAGGAATTAGCCCTCCACATCCATATATCGGGCGACAGGACCCTCACAGCCGGTGCACTCCTGAGTACGGTATGTAACCTATTCACCTCCTCCTCTTCCCAAGCCAACAGAGGTCTCCTAAACTCGAAAAGCCAGTCCTGGAATGAAAGGCTTGGCGAATGGTTCAATATAATGACAATGCAACGCGATGCTTGTGATGTCTATGCAACGTGTGGCCCTTACGGCATATGTCGCTTCAATGTTTTAGCTACTTGTTACTGCCCAAATGGGTTCATACCCAGATTGAAACAGGAGTGGGACAGGGGTGATTGGTCAGGTGGGTGCATGCGGAGGACACCAATGAATTGCAGTGCTCCTCAGGGATTCAGGAAATTGCCAGGGCTGAAATTGCCAGACTCATTGTATTTCTTAGTGGATATGACCAAGATGAGTCTGGTCGACTGCAAAGAGGCTTGTTTGAGAAATTGTACTTGTGTTGCTTTTGCACTAACTAGTGTGAGTGGTTGTGTGGTATGGTTTGGAGAGTTGCTTGATATGAAAGAGTTTAGTGAACATGGACAAGATTTGTATATTCGGATGGCTGCTTCTGATCTCGGTAAGTGTTTGCCATTTTAATCATCATTTTACCCATTTTGATTTATGCTTTTGGTTAATATAATGATGCTGTTATATGCATTTCTTTTTTAAAAAAAATGTTACTTTTGTCATTTTTATTTATTATTTTATGAGTCAATATCATATAAAAAATAGACATCTTTGCACTCGTGGTATCTCAACAATGTTGGGATTGTTACATATCTCAAATATAGAGTAGCATAACCGCACACATAAAATAGAAAAATGTACAGAAAAGTTATAATTGTATCATCGGCGAATTGTAGATGCGTAACTCTTACCCCATTATTACCAATGGCAACTCCTTGGATTAAACCCATTTCCTTGGCTCTCTCAAACAAAATATTTAACCCCTCAGCCACTATATTGAATAGAAAAGGTGATAGTGGATCGCCTTGCCGTAAACCTCGTTGTGGACAAAATTCCTCGGTTGGAGAGCCATTTACCAGGACCGACACCTTTGTGGAGGTAACACAGGTTTTCAACCATTTCACCCATCTATTTCCAAAACCAAAGTTGGATAGCATACTGAATAAGAATTCCCAATTTACCGAATCATATGCCTTCTCAAAGTCTAGTTTCAAAACCAAACCTTTCCTATTTAATTTTCTCCACCCATCCACTATCTCATTTGCAATAAGGACCCCATCAAGAATATTCCTTTCCCCCAGGAAAGCAGATTGGGCCTTACTAATTACCTGTGGCATCACTTGTTTCATCCTGTGTGACAAAACTTTGGCTAGGATTTTATACAAGGAGCCAATAAGACTTATGGGCCTATATTCACTCAAGTTTGATGGGCTGTCCACTTTTGGGATTAGAACAATAAAAGAGCTATTTAAACCAGAAACCAATGTGGCATTCTGATGGAACTCTCTAAAGAAGAGCATTACCTCAGCTTTAACTATTCCCCAACATTTCTTAAAGAAAGCCAAATTAAAGCCATCAGGCCCCGGAGCTTTATTGCCTTCACAGCTCTTGATAGCATTCCTAACTTCCTCCTCGGTAAACTCTGCTTCTAGCATATCCACTGCATGTCTTCCACCAATATTCTTGAACTGCCCAGCTAAGTGAGGTCTACCAGCCCACGTTTCAGAGAAGAGATTCCTAAAGTGAGTCAACACCACGTGTCTGACCTCCATAGGTTCCTCAACCCTTACACCATTTACCATCACTGAACACAGAGAGTTCCTGCTATTTCTGTTACAAGCCATTATGTGAAAATACCTTGTGTTCCTATCTCCTTTTAAGGCCCAATCCATTCTTGATTTTTGTAACCATGACCATTCTAGCATTTTATTCAATCTCCAAACTTCCCCCATTAGTTCCCTTCTTCGAGCTTGTTCATTCCCCAGGAGTGCTCTTTCTTCAGCAATTAGTTCAATAGCATGTGCTTCCTCTTCAGCAGCTTTGATTTTAAATTCAATCTTCCCAAACACTTCAATATTCCACACTTTTAATTTTTGTTTCAAGGCTTTAAGCTTCTTAAGACATCTGTACCCAGCCCAACCTAACACCTGAGATTCTGACCAAGATTCCTCCACTAAGGAAGTAAACTTGGGATGGAGAGCCCAAGCATTCAGAAACCTAAAAGGTCTAGGTCCCCAATCTCTTTTGTCCTCCATCAAAATTATAGGACAATGGTCAGATAGTGTCCTAGGAAGTCCCCATAACTTGAAATTGAAATTTTGTAGCCACTCATGATTAAGTAAAAATCTGTCGATTCTGCTCCATTTCTCTCTAATTTGTGAGTTACACCAGGTAAATTTCCTACCTAGCATTGGTAAATCAATCATTTCTAGTTGGTCAATCATGGTATTAAACTCCCTCATTCCTCTGTCTCTTCGAGAACACCCAATTCTTTCTGAGTTGGTCCTTATTTCATTGAAATCGCCCCCCATACACCATGGCCCCAAAAAAGTATTCTTCAACCGAGCAAATTATCCCATAATTCTTTCCTCTTAGCCACCTCCGATGGGCCATATACATTAACAATCACACAGTTAAAGGAAGAGAAGAGAGTACCTGACAACAGGATGAAATTACGGTTGCCACAGCAAGAATTTAATTGGAACACCCCTGGATTCCAAATACATAACAGCCCACCTGCTCTGCCTTCTGCATCCACTGCCATAAACTCAAAATTATCTTCGTACCAGATGGATTTTACTATTTCAGGAGTTATTGTTGAGCTCTTTGTCTCTTGGATCAATACTAAACTGATTTTCCTTCCAGCCAGACTTTTTTTAATTTTTCTCCTTTTCTCAGGCCTGCCAAGGCCTTTAACATTCCAAGATTGTATCTTCATTGCAAGAATTGTTTAGCACCCAGACTCCCAGAACTGAAAGCTCATTTAGCTTCACCTCCCCTACACCCAACTTTCCTTCTATCGTTGGCCTCTAGTTCCTCTAGCTTGCTAATTATCTCCTCTTCCTTACCCTCACAGGCTATCCCCAACACTTTACCAATCTGAAGTGATGCCTCTGCCTCTGATAATCTCAAGCATCCTCTACTAGACTTACTTGCCATAGATAAAGAAATAGCAGCTACTGCTGACCTGAACACTGCCCCTTTCCTTAGATTCATTGGTGGCTTCACAAATTTCTTTATTATTCAACTTAAATAAAGGGCATGATATGGATGAAGTTTGGTGACTATAGGAATTCATCAGATCAATTCAATAAATTTTATAATATATATATATATATATATATGTTTATGACTACATATATAATTATTTTCGGTAAATTATACTCACCTCCCTTGAAGTTTGAAAAAAATATAATTATCTCCCACACTTTTGACATTGTTACATTAATCATGTTGGGTATACCTCCTTATTGGAGTGTGGGACCCAATTGGTTTATTAAAAGAGTTTTAGTTTGATATTAGTTATAATATATTTTTATATATTATATCTAATTTTGTGGAGACCCAATTCAATTTGGAAACAATTAAGGTTTTGATAAAAAAAAAACCCTAGATTCACAATTTTTTATTGCTTTTTGCTCATCCCGAAGTTGTGAACGGCTGCTGCATACACTTCAATTCAGTGGAATCAAACTTTTGGGTGAGTGAAAAAGTGGACTTAATTCGGCTGGTTCTTGCTTCATTTTTCGGTTTTTCCGATATCCTATTAGTGTGCATAATTGGGTGTTTTGGTGAAGCTGATTTGGTTCGTTATTTTGGGTTTTCTACAACTCTGGTTTAGAAGATTTTGGTTCATCTATTTGGTGAGATTTTTCCTCTTGTTTATTTGTGATTATCTGGAATTCACCTAAGGGTGGTTTTGTGAGACCATTCGTGTCTCGTTTGTAATCGTTTGGAAACTCTTTGGTTGATAGTGGAATCGGATTTCGATCCCGTAGATGTACCTTACATTGAGGGAACCACGTAAAATTCTTGTGTTGCCTTTGATTTAATTTTTCCGCATTAGTTTTTATTCCCATTGATTGATTTACTTGTGGGGAATCATATATTTTCCCTAACAACTGGTATCAGAGCTTACGGTTTATTTGAGTTTATTTATTTGTGTAAATCAATGGAGGGGAATGTGTGTCGTATGTCTAGCTTCAATGGAAGCAATTGGATAACTTGGAAAACTAAAATGGAGGACCTATTATTTTGTAAAGATTTATATGGGCCTATTGAGGGAGATAGTGGCAAACCTGATGATATAAAAGATGATGAGTGGAAGAGGCTTAATTGAAAAGCTGTTGGTGTTTCCGTCAATTGATTGATGACAGTGTATTTCATCATGTTGCTACTGAAACTTCAGCACATGATTTATGGAAAAAATTAGAAGGTCTTTATGATAGGAAATCAGCCACCAATAAAGCTTTTCTGTTTCGTAAGTTGGTTAATTTAAAATATAAAGAGGATAGCCCTATTCCGAACATCTGAATGAAATAAAGAGTATTGTTAACCAACTTGCTTCTATGAAAATTGTTTTTGATGATGAGTTACAGGCTTTGATGCTACTGAGTTCTTTACTCGAAAGTTGGGAGACTTTGGTTGTGACCATTAGTAATTCGGCGCCCGATGGAGTTGTCATAATGGGCCAAGTCACTAGTAGCTTATTGAATGAAGAAACTAGAAGAAAATCAATGAGTTCTTCTCATTCAAAAGCATTTGTTGTGAGAGGCCGAAGCAAAACAAGGGGGAGGAGTAAGACTCCTCATGGTCGTGATCAAAGCCGTGACAAGTCAATAGATGGTTCTTTTTCAAAGAAAGACGTTGAGTGTTATTATTGCCACGAGAAAGCGCACATGAAGCGAGAATGCCGAAAGCTCAAGAACAAGGAGAAAAGGCGCGACAAAAGTGTGGATAAGAAGCAAGAAAACACAACAACAGTTACTACCGATGATCTCATGGTTGTTTGTGAAGATGGTTGTATCAATTTTGT